TGCCTGAAATTTACCACAGATTAGGTCGCAGGAGTAACAAGTTCAGATGGGAAACCAAAAGAAAAATCCCCATTTCATTCTGGATTTGACGGCCCAAAGTCCCGCTGACCACTAGACCTATTTTCAACATTAACTCAACACAAGGTTGAGTGCAGTGCATAACAGTATATCAGGCTATATATCGGTATATATCTACAATTGAACACCCTGATTCAGTTGAAGATATTTAATCTTCATCTAGCTAGACCAAATTTAACAGTTTAACACAATAGAGTAGAATAGAACAGAATACGAGTTTATTGCCGTATCCACAGATATAATACAAGCACATTGAAATTCAACAATAGTAAAAATTTAAAAATAGAGAATAATTCTAAGATAAAATGAACACATAACAAGACACCATCCACTTAAGAAATATATTAATCCTCACTATATAAATAAACAGTCATTAATATTGCACTATAAGATGGTCCATCTAATTGCAGTTGAAATTTTGCACCTTAATCATGCTTTGTGTTGCAGCCATAAGTAGTTCCTGCCCTTTTCAATATTCTGTGCCAGTAATCTGACAGTGGCTGGAAAAAACTTCCTGTGTAGGTGGGCCAGTGTGCAATAACGCTTCCCGGCCTACCATGTCTCATGTTGTGGCCAGAATCCACCCAGTGGAAAAAGGTGCGAGCATGAAACCGTCTCTGAGAATCTGCTGTGTGCAGATTTAAAAACATAAAAAAATAAAAACATGTCAAACATCTAAAGTCTTATTAAGCATTTAAAGGTGGCTTTATTTGGTTCTGTTTTTAGTGGTCATTGTGAAATAATGATTTTAATGTTCACTAAATGCTTGTTTTAGAGCTAAAAGCTAAGAACTTAAGAGAACAGCAGATAACATATTTATGTATTTGTACTGTACTGGGAAATGGGAAAACATATTTTTATCTAAACAAGACATTTTCTCCTTCAACAGAGTCCTAAAAGAAAGCATGAATCATAATTTGCAGCCATATACAGCGCAGCGCCTCAGTGACCATAATGCTGGCATTATGCAGATGATGCAGCATTGACAGGTCATTTCTGAGTCAGACGAGGAACTGAGTTTATTTTATTTTTGTAGCAAAAAAGTTGTTCGTTTTATTGCAATGACAGTAAAACCATTATCTGTAGACATGGGAACCAAGATCTTTTTGATATCTGCACATTAAGAATCATCATCGTGTAGCTCATAGGGTAAAGGTGCAGCATTATCAATCAATACATCCTTAGCTTGAGCCCAGCTCGTTAGTCTTTTTAAAAAAAAAATGTGGTCCATCTCAACTGCACTTCTAGTTTGTCGGGCCTATGCTTAAGCATTAATAAATGTTCAAAAGTAGAATTTTAACGTGGAATTAACTTTCTATTTTAGATGTAATATTTCCCAGTTTTAGGTCAGACTTGTATGGATCATTAAGTCATTGTTTAGATATATTTAACAAAAAATACTCTTAGTTTATTCATGTAGATCATAAAATGAGAACTAAATGTAGTGTTTTTTTTTTCCTTTCTTTTTGTAATTTAAAGGTGACCACTAGCTCCAAAGTAGGACTGTCATTTTATGTGACAATAAAATTCTCCCCTGAGAATCTGGCAACTATTTTTCCAACACATTCAATTCATGCATAAGGTAAATACAACAATTTGAACTATGTTCTAGCTAAGCATGATCAGTTTTTCTCTCCAGGATGTTGCTGCTGTTGAAGATGTTAGCATGTCTCCTGGAACGTGGCACGGTTTTCCACAAGACGACAAATAAATGACAGATTCTGACCTTTGCTGGCAACACTGACCTGAGTGACTCCAAATTCTCAAGATGAGAGAAAACTGAGACATAAAGGGAGAGCGATGAAGCACATATGAGTATGGTCAACAAACACACAAACATTTTTCATACTTCTACATTTTGTCATTCTTTTGTGATGAATAAAATGGGTATATTCAAAAGTTATGTTTATAGCTTTACACCAAATTTAAAAGATTCCAAAATATGTCTTAGCTTGATTGAATCAAATATAAAAATAATATGTTTAAAGGGATAGTTCAGACTTTTTTAGTAGTACAAGGAGTTTTTGAACTGCAGTATCTTATTAGCAGTTGTTTAATAACACCTTAGCTTGGATGGGTATAACTTAAGTTGTACATGCCATAAATTTGAGCCAATAACTAGTCAGTTGACAAAAGAACAAAATGAATTTCTGCCGTCTTAAAGAAACTCAAGTCAGCATACAATCATTTTAAAGTTTAATATGAACAGCACTGCTTTTCACACAACTGGATATGGATAGAAACTTTGTCTTATAAATGGTGTGAGATTACATTGTGAGTCGTTCCCATGTAAAGAACATTAACTGATCATTTTTTCTACATTTATTGGAAGCTTTAGTTTTAGTACAGACTTATTTGATGTTCTTTACTTTTTGCAAATGCTTATCTTTGGTTAATTAGGAAATTTGGGTTGCAAATGACTTATTGTCAGACACATTTTAAAGGACAGCTTTTCTTATTGCAAGGGTTCTTTGTGTTTCTACAGGAAGCCTTTTCAGATGCAATTGAAAACCTGTAAAGGCGAATACAATGAAACCCAGCAGTCTATCAGTATTTTCGCTCTCCCTCTCCGCCTTAGAATTCACGATGTACTCGCTGCTTCTCAAAACGTATTTCCATGAAAATGCTGTCTTGCAAACTAACCTACACTCGCTCATCTCTGATTTGCTCTGTGAAATGTATTTTTTTAGTCTTCCAAGTGTATGTCCAGTGCCATTGGCCTTCCTCTCATCCCTGCCCACCATCTGAAGTAGGTTCTTGACGTCTGGCAGATGAATACTGGCAAGCGGGCGTGTCATACCCAGCAGGGTGAATGACTGGCCAAGATGGAGGGTGGGCCATGCAGCCACGCCACGCAGCTGGTGGGCTTATTAACCGTTGTGAGTGTGTGTAGAAGGCATAGTGTTTGTCGCTCAGGTGTTACCATGTACATATGTGGTCTAAACACTTCTTCCTTTTCTCCAGCACACACACATTAGACTCCCTGTAGTGTGGCAAAGTGTAGATACTCATCCTGTCAGTTGCAAAGAAGGAGACATGAAAAGCTGGAGAAAGCAAACTGGACGGGGACATAGTGGCCATTTTATTATAGTTGCTACGGTTTGCATATAAAGTGCTTTTTAAAAATCTTTTGCAAAGTAGCTTGTCAGTGCTGGCTGGAGAGTAAATATTGTACATATTTTGAATATTGAAGCTACATCTAAAAGAATGATCCTGTGTTTGTCAGTGTCTCTTTTCAGGATGGAGCCATTGGTCGGGACATTTCATTGAACGTTTTCTTTTTGTTTGGCCAGAGCAGCAAAAGCACTGTGAAGACTTATCTTATCTGTAGTTTTCTTATTCTTCCCACAAATTAATTGGCTTCCTGGAGGTCAAATTATGCACAAAACTCACCAATTCGGCCATTTTTTTTTTAGTACGCCTGAAATGGTACTGTCCACTCACAGGTGATCGGGTTTGATTTTCACTCTATCAATACACAGATGTAATTTTTGAAGGAGGTTTGAATTTCATAATCAAATTGGGGTTGAATTTATGTTTTCTACATTCATAACTTTATCTGTTGTTTCATGAAGTTTTTGAGTGTTTTAATTCTATGAAATACCTAAAACCAATCATTACATTATCCTCTTCTTCGACAGCTGCATCAAACTATGGTAAAATTTAGGGAAAAAAAGCATTAACAAATGTTAATGACCCTCCTGTGACCCTGCAGAGCACAGTTCTGTCAAGACAGCGTCTAATAAAACAAGACAGACAGAGGGGGGGGGAGTCTGAAACTGATTTTAATGCCACATGGAGGATTTAAAGCGGTGACTCATGAGTGACTCCCCAACTCTGATATCAACCAGCTGTCACCACGGTGCCGACCTTTTACCGTGGCCCAGGGTGACCGTCGCTTTATCGCCGATGTAACGCGACCCCTGACATTTCCATGGCCCGACATCACTGTGGAGAAGTGAAGGCAAGCAGAAAACAAGAGCACAGACTGTGACAGGGTATGCATGTGGTGTGTGTGTGTGTGTTTGTGTGTGTGTGTGTGTGGCTGATGGGAGATGACCACTGTAGAAGGGATTTTTATGCATCAAGAAAATAAATGTGATGACAATACTTCCAAAGACTGTAAATATGGAGATTGAGGTTTGCAGATGTTTAATTCTCCCGAGCTCTTCTGAGGTCCAAAGACAACATTTCAGTCAGGTTGGGGTCTGGACCTCAACAGGGCCAAAGCAGCCTAGATTTTCTTCTTTGACATCAATTCAGTTTTTTTTAATTTTTTTATTTGTTGCTGAGCCTGAGATTGCTGGTTTGTTGATACCAAGCCTCATTTTGTTGTGCAGATGCCTCACATTTGCCTATAAAATACTTTGATATAGAGGAGTTCATATTTTTCGCACATAATCATGTTTGCTTTTGTATTCATCATTGTGTATGATTTGTTTCAAAATAAAAACCAAAACTTTCAGATATGACCCAGTAACATTATTTAATCTCACATCATAATATGCTGTTATTATTGAAGATTTTCTCACCTCGGTGTGCTGAACACTTGAAACTGAAAGTAAAGCAGATGTTCCATTAAAAGGGAGGTAGGGAGGTATTGTATGACATCAATCTTTTGAGCTTTATACCATATCATAACGCTATTTACTCATCAAAAGTTTTCCTGGAGTGTTGCCTTGATCCTTTCATGCATGTTTGAGAAATCTGTGAATCTCCGATGGCAGCCATTTGAGGTTTCCTTTTGTAAGTGAGTTGCTTTGGAGCTCTGCGTAGCTTTCTGAGCAAGTTAGATGTTTAACAGTAAAGAGTTTGCTTCAAGCCACCTTGTCGACCCTTTTAGAAAACGCACAGAAATGGTGAGAAGTGTCACAATGATCACTCAACACAGCTTTAGTCACACTCACTCATTCGTACTTCAAAATATTCATACACATTCATACATGCACAGTTTTGCTCTTTGTGTGTGTTCAATGACTTGCCCAAGGACACTTTATCATGTGGTAGGTAGAAGCTGGAATTAAACTCTCCCTTTAGACTCCAAGACAACTACTCTTTACACTGAGCCATAGATGTCTTAAAGAGAGGTGTAAGTCCCGACTTGAAGTGTTTGGTGAAAGAGGATTCAGATGAGTCAGCAGCACATCAGAGTAGCTCTGCTCTCACGCAGATCTGGGAAAACACAGTGAAAAATACACACAAGTCCCAGGATCAGGACTGAGGTAAGGCAAAAATAAGAGCGCTGTAAACTGAGGTAAAACATTGTCACACAAGCAAGGCGGTAAAAATTGTAGCGAAAAAGAGAAAAGACCAGAGAGAACATGAAACACGAAGACAGCCAGAGAAAGGAACAGATATCAGGGCCATGGAAGGAGATAAAACGTGTATTACATGAAATTAATGGTGGTCTTCACAAGCAGTACAAGAATCACATTCCTCTTTACATTTGCTGAGAATGGGAGAGGCAGAGGGACAGAAATACAAGCCATGCAAAGAAGTGCAGAGCCGTTACTTCACTAACGGCAAAGATCTTTTCACTTAACAATGAAACTTAACACTTTCAACAAAGACCGAAAAAAAATAAAAATAAAAAATGCCACAGAGATGCAACATTGAAGAAGATTCCTTATTTAAAGCATTGTCTAAATATCTGCCATAAATGTACAGAGAACTTAAATATTTTAATTAACATTAAAGAGTGACAACTCTGGAAAACAGGGATGAAATGTTTTTAGAAACTGAGTGGAGATTAGTAGACGTAGAGAATGTCACAGGGGGATGATTTTTTATTTTTTGTGCTCCCTCTCACCGTCTTTGCTGGATGTTTGCATTTTGATTGATTGTGATGTAATTTTCTCCTGATAGTTTCTTGGAGATTTGAGAGGATCTCCACTTACAGCTGCAGCCCATCACTTATTCCACACCTGGATCCCATTCAGTCTTCAGTCTCGCACTCAGACAGCTTTACACATGTAGTGACGTTTTTCGCCCACTCTTGTTTTCAGATCACTTAAACGCACTCAGATTCATTTTAGAGTGTCTGAGAAGTTATTTTCTTGCCAATAGCTCTACATTGTATTTATCTTTAGGCCTTGCCTGGGGCATATGAATACATTTTAAACTACTGAGTCCACAGCCTCAAGTCTTTTGCGAGAGTTACCAGGTTTCATCCAAAACGATGTGCTGTTATCCCCATCCATCATCTCATCAGCTCTGACCGGCTACCCGACACCTGCAACCAAAGAGCATCCATACATTTATTATCTCCCATTTATGCCAACAGGTTGGGTTGCGGGGGCGACTGAACAAATTCATAGAATACCTTAAAAGATTTTTCAACATTTCTAGATCAGCAAAATAAAATCACTTTTTGAAGAGAGCTTCCTTTTGATATAAAAGGTTGAGTTTAGAGAGGCATTCACATTTAGAAGATTCACAACACATTTTGAATCATGTTAAGATTTATTTAAAAGGTCTGAGGCATATTTTAGTTTTAGATTACTTGGTTAAAAACCATAAAACAAAGTGAAACTTAGTGTATTACGTGTACTACAACACCAATTTTGCTGTTATTTGCTCATTTCACAATGCCGATGTAAACACGTCCTGGGCTTTTTTCTATTCTTTCAAAGAGGATCTGCATATTTGCACCAACTGTTCCAGATGTCTGCTGATGTTCGTCATTACTACGCACAGGTGCTTTGACATCATTTGATATATTTGGTTTTTAATTGAAATCCCAAAGACGTTGGTGAGATTGTAACACGCTGGAAATTACATTAAGACCACAAAAGGAGTACATGCACACCGAGTCTGCCCAGAAGTCTGTTTTTGTCCCTTGCTCTCTACCCTGTCTTGTTCCCTTGTGCCTATCTGAGCTCTGTCCCTGTGTGAAAAAATTCTGTGCAATCTGAAAGTGACAAGGAAGAGATTTATGAAAGTATAAGTGCCTGTTTCTAGTGGATTTCATAGTGCAGAGCAAGGAATATGCAGATGAGAGTGTAGAGGGTGTTGCGGGTACGGGCAGATGTGTTTTCATGCGTGTATATGTGTGTGTGATATCACTATGGGGACTACAGCGCTTCTCCATTTTTCAAGCATTATTATACATGACCTAGTAGCGACCAAGCTTCAGGAGTGTGGAGGTTAGGAAAGATGGCTTTTGGGATTGTCAGGGTACAGGTCTTGAATGATAAATGGTGTTCTCAACACTCATGCATAAAGGGACCTCCAGCTATGAGCTGAAAATACAAGATGATAAGATCATTAACTCCAGCAAACTTATTGCTCTGTTCAAATTTTTATTGTATCGATATGTAATTAAGATTTTCAGAGGTACATCATGTGAATGATTCATTAGTCCTTACTGAGGAAAAACATGTTTAAAAGTTACCTCGAACACACCACAACTGCCGCCTTTCTTTATGAACAGTTAAATTAAATGCCTGTTGGCCTTCAGTTTGTGCACTGTGAAATGAGCTCTATTATTGAAATTTCAAAAATTAACTAACTTAATATAAACTCTTCCTCTACTGATAATACAGTAGATGAACTATGGCTCTGTGACCAAGGTTATTCTACAAAATGTAATTTCAAAAAATTCAAAAAGGATAACAACTATACAACGTGATAAATCATCTCACCATTATTCAAACCAATGCACTATGTGGTTTGACACAAACAAGGCAGGGGCTTTGTAACCCAGCCGAGATTTGAGAGGTTACTGATCATCATAAATAGTGTGAGACACAACAGACAGTTTACTTAACATTTGATAACAGATAAAATGAATAAATATAAGAAGCAGCCATCCTCTTGTTTTTGTCCATTTAAAAGTAAATTCTTGTCCCATGAGGGTTTCCCTGTGACGACGACTGTCTTCACATACAATTCAGTCATTCTGCGGGCTCGCTGCCTTTTCCCTCACAAGCCATCCAAAACATTCTGCTCTGTAACTGCGAGGCAGACAGTTGCATAAAACTCAAAAATGCTGTCGGCAATGTGCAGACTTACATAAATGCTTACATTTTTTGGGGGGGAAAAAAGTTTGGCCTGTCAAGAACCACAGAGAATTGCAAACTATGGCACCCAAAATTAAAGCTACCACTGAGTCAGTCATCTGGCCCCTACATGAAGAGCTCAAATCTGACTTTTCTCTGCTTGAGAACTGGCTTGGTGCATGGCTTCTCAAGTCTGAGTGGACTCTGAAAGCTGTGGGTGGAAATAGTCAGAAATGTTACACCTTCAGTCATTACAGATCTGTTTTATAGAACTGGGATCACCTGTTTTGATTTTACAGATGAACTACCAATCACAGACACCGCTTTTCTTCCTACTAACAAAGACATTTACATTCTGATGGAGTGGCTGTCAGATGAAACTAAATTCTTGGACTAACCAATCACTTTATTTCATTAGAAAACACTTAATTGTTAACTACAAATCAGAATGTCTTTCTTTAAATTTTACATTACTGATCGTTTTTTTCATTTTTTCTTAAGCTTATGGCATAGAAAACTGCTCTCACAGCAGCATTTTACACTCAATAATCTGATTTCACAGTCAAGTAAACGTGAGGTATAAAAACGGTGGAATCACACAGCTCAAAGAACAGCAGTAACAGGCTCATCTGTAGGCAAAGTAACGGTCTTCTGCTTGAGTCATTAAACACACCAACTTCTAATGTCACTTTAAGCAGGGTCCAATCACATTCATCTGTTTGAACAGAGTCATATGGGGAGAGAATGAGAAGACATGGAGGGTGAAATAGAGACAATGCTGATACGGTTAATGACAGAGTTGGAAGTGTTTACTCAAGCTGTGAAAAATAGCAGCTGGACTGGGGATGCTGGAGCATTGTTGGTAAATATACACACCATAAATTTGATCAACTAAAGATCTGATGGTTTCTTTTGTAAGTTGCAGAACAAACAGGAAATATATTTAAGGGTTGTTCTGTTTCAAGGACACTTACTGAAAGCAAACAATTAGAAATAAAGCCAGTCCACTAAGTATTTAAGTATTAACTAATTTTGCCTTCACACATTGAAACGTGTCATATGTCATTCTTAATTCATGTGATCTAATACAATGCTGGTCCAACCTCTGCAGTCGATACAGCTTTTCAAAAGCTTGAGCTTTTCAGTGTGTTTACGGGGAAGTTTTGGCCATCCCTCCTCATGGGGATTTGTCAGGTCAGACACCAGTTTTGGACCAAAAGGCCTGGCTCACAGTCTGTGCTCGAATTCCTCCCAAAGCTGTTCTGTAGAGTTATGGTCAGAACTCTGGACCTCAGTCAAGCTTTCCACACCAGATTCAGTCAACTGTGTCTATGTCCTTGCATTGAGCACTTGTGAAGTCATGTTATAACAGTGGGAGTCCATCCCCAAACTTTTCCACAAAAGCCTGGAGCATGAAATTGTCTAAAATCGGGGCAGCCTGTGGTGAAGAGGTAAAACGGACGTCCCATATTCAGGGCTATTAACACATCCAGCTGAGGATCAATCTCTGACCTCTGGACCTTTGCTGCATCCATGTCCTCTTCTCTGTTTGTCTATTTCCTTCTTGTGTACTGCAGATAACAGTAACCAGTCCCACAAAAACCTTTAAAAACATAATAGTCTAAACATGTATTTTAAGGCTGAATTATTGAGAAAATCCTTGCGTAGAAAATAAGTGGCCAAACACAATGCCTGAAAAACGGTTCCATATTACAACTTTACCTCTGACACATAGCAAGTTACAAGAATGACACCATTCTTGTAACTAAAACCCAGAGTCATTCTTTATTGCCATGTTTCACAGTCTAAAATATTTAACATTATTGCACTGAATGTTCATATTACAGTAACACTTTTTGACAAATACTTATTCTGGTAAGCTTTTTCTGAGTCTTAATCAGTCTCAAGCTCGAGCGTCTTATTTTATTTCTATGTTCCTGAGAATGTCTGTTATCTGTTGCTTTACAGGCAGAAGTAAAAAAAAAAAAAAAGAGTTGCAAGTAGTTGCAGACTAACTATAGTCATTTACAACTCCCTAAAAGTGGTTTTGAATGGCATTAGGCATACTTTTAGAGCCAAATTACTACCAGTCTGTTTGCATTTGTGTACACAAGTGTATGCACAACTTTTCATGTGCACACTGAGGTGATGTGCTTCTGCACTAAGATGTAGGAGAGAGCAGGTTGGGGGGCATATTGTAATTACTCGCTGCATTAAAATCGCTTGGTGTTATGGATCACAGGGGGGATAGTGGTGTCTGAAACGGCCGTCTCCTTCAGCGGTCGTTTCTTCATATGACAGCAAACATACAGTCTGCAGCCATAAAAAGGGGAAGGGCTTTATATGTTTGTATGTGTCGCCAATACACAACACCCTGGGTCTGGCAAGAACACAGCTGTAAAAGAAAAGAGGAATGACTCTTAAAAGGAGGTTTTATATGACCATGGGGAGAGTTTTAATAGGATCCTTTGGTTTATTAGTATGCAGAGGTTATGCACACAGTCATTCCAATCTTTGGCCATTCAGTGTAATGGTGGGCAGTTCTAAATGCCTAAACAATGTCATGATAAACTGTGCAAGCGTACAACAGCATTAACTGACCAAAAAAAAGAAAAAGAAAAAATAGGCAGAGCAACATCTTTATGCCTGGGTTCAGAAATAATTAGAAACATTATGTTAAAGTTGTGCAAAAAAACAAAAACTATTCTTTAGATTCCACGTAATAAATAAACTAACTGCACTCTGCTCCAGCTTTTCTTTAGATAACTGTAGTCAAATAAAATTTTGTACATTTTTCCCATTTTAACAAATGTCAAACTTACTGACCAGCAAAAACGCAAAATAAATTAATAAATAAATCCATCCAAACTAGCATTGCAGCAGTGTTCGTTTGTAGCTCACACTGGGGTCAAAAAAGGTTCACCCTGTCACCAGTCCATCACATGGCAACACAGAGACACAGAACATACAACACAAACAGTCATGGCAAAGTGTAATCCATAGAACTGCATTAAGATGACTTTCTCAGGTTTAAAGATTTGATGTAAGGGAAAACATGATGCCACTTTTAGAAGAATCCAGTGTTCAGATTCATACTTTGTTACATTTTTCTCCTTTTTGGCTTTTATAACACTTCAACTTCGCATCCAAATCTGTCCCTTACGTCCTCATTAGAATAAGGCCTACGTCTTACCCAGCAGTGTTACGTACTGTGGTCCAAGCTAACGATCCAAGGAACAAGCTGTGGGCAATCATCACTAATAATCCCACTATTGACAGTTCTTACATAAAATCATGTGGTGCGCAGAAGTTATCTTGTGTTGCTGAACACATTTCACAATTCATCGACCCTTGCCGAATTTCAGTCTTAAACAAAGAGTGGCCTTGTTGGTGGTACAGGCTCTGTTGTCCCCGATGGGAGAAGATGGTGCAGGTTGAAAACAGCCCTAACCTTTCATGCTTGTTTACGCTGTCTGTTGAAAGGACCTGAGGATGGGAGGGATGAGAGGAGGTGGAAGAGGGAAACGACGAGGTGACCTCTCCTAAGTTTACGCAGCCGCCACCCCCATCTGTTCCCCTTGTCCCCTGGAGACCCAGCGGCTGGGCCTTAATGAGGGACCCGATGGAATTGTTGGGACGTCACCACAAAGAGCGCTGGGATGTTGAGACCGGCAAGGCGAAGCAAGGGGATAGAAGAGTGAGCGTGTTTGTGTATGTCCGCTATTGCCTTTGTTACCGAGGAGCATGGGGAAGATAAAGGGCTCAGGAATAGGAGCCGTACTTGCTGCGAGGATGTTTGTTGAAGGTATTTCCTTCTCAGCTGCTTGTTTGACTTTATCTCTCAAACTTTGTTTTTTCCCAAAAGCACAAAGTTCAAAGTTAATGTCCTTCATTGGGCTTTTTTTTTTTTTAAATACCATTAATAAGATTATTTGTCTTAAAGAATTTTGAAACAAGATTTTTTATGTGTTTTTTAGTTCAGATAAAAAATTTTGAACAAAATCTAAGACTTAAAATCCTGTAAAAAGAGAAATATAGACAACTGCTAGTAAAACAGCCGACAGTCGAGTTCTATACAAGGAAAATCAGCTGATACCTACAACCAGGGCTCCCAGAAATCCAAGACTTAAGAGGATAAAATTATTTTTCCCAGTAGAAGGGATATTGATCCCAGTATTACAGTCAGCTGTAAAATGACTTTGGGTTTATGATGTGTTGAAGAGGAATGAGCCGTAGATTTGCAAAGCACATAATTCTCACTGCAGATCTCTGTGTTCTCAACAAGAACTCCATCTGGTTGTTACAGTAAAGAATCTTTGTGAATGTTTGCAGCATTTTGAAGGAGCACAGCATGTCTTGATACTTTATAATTCTTTTACTTGTCCGATTCCACAACTTATAACACATATATTTTTGGCTAAGAAAAAAGCAACACAAACATCTGTAAGATCCACATTCACTGTGCAAAACAGTTTATGCATCCGTTTAATTCTCAGACTGCACAAAAAGAAAGTTGCACTCAATAGAACAAGAGTAAAACAACCCATACTTGTGCATTTATGTAAATGCAGCTAGTGGAAAATGCTTCTATTCACAGACTTATGCAGTTTGTAAATTGCAGATTGAAGGAAGTAAGAAAAAAAAAATGTAGCAAATATGCATTGTGTGCGTTTAAAATCTTGTGGTTGCCTTTTTGTGTGCAGAACATTCCCATGATTTCCAATAATACTCAAAACTCAAATACATACCTCTTTACAGAACATGTCTCTACAAGGTAATAAAATTCATCCACTCAATGTGAAGAGACTTTGAGATGTTTTGTGATGAGTTTGTTTGCAACTGCAATTAATTAGTGCTGTCTGCATTTTAGCTCCAGTGTAAAAAAGAGAGAAGCATATAGAACATGTAAACGATTACAGACTCACAGAGTTGCATTTTGCCTGGAGCAGATTTTTTGTTTTTATCTTTGAAAGATAGAAACATCAAATATCCAGTTTGCAAAACAATCTGCCAAATCTTTGTTTTACAAGAAACTAAGAGGATAGACATTTGTGAGGTTAAAGTTTTATTGATGAAATCTTTTCTTACATTTAAAAGAAAGTTGAAATGGTACAAATAAAATAAAATTTGGACTACACTTTGATTTTTTTTCTCTTTTCCCTTCATCTACCAGGTGTCAACTTACAAAAGTTACTTTAGAGGGAGCATTGTTTCGATTATTCTTTTTCCTATTTAACAAAAATCAAGTCTTTCAGAAGATACTTCGTACTTCAAGGTTTCATATGATTAGTTTTAAATTAGTTTTAAACGATTGTTCTCAAAACAAGAGTGGAACAAAAACCATCCTTTGTCAGTTAGTGGTAGAGTCTCACTTTGTATATGCAAAGAAATTACAGAAGAATGCCGATATTGAAAGTTTGTGCGGAAAACAATGCAAAGAATCTTATTCACTGCGTCTTTGAAATAATTTTTATTTTTTACTTTTAAGTGAAAAATGAAGGGCTTTTTCCCTCTCCACTCCATTTGTCCTTCAGGCAGCACAAAGTGAATTGCCACTGGCCTCAGCAGGTTTGTGTATAGTGACAGAGAAAAAGAAGGTGGGAGAAACAAAGAAAAGTGGAAAAACAATATTTCCTTTAGAACCCTCAACATAGTTTTTCATTTTCAAATCTGTTAGGTGTCGCTGACTTTCGCTCTTTAGTACAAAACAACCACAGAAGAGTTCTGCTGTAACAACTGCTGTAGTACCAGAATGTGAGAGGGAGGTTACCTGAACCCAGATGAATAAGACATTTTCTAGATTGCTGCACTCTTTGTAAAAGGGTAACTGGCAAGCTTTCTTCCATTCGTTCGCATGCCACAAATTCCATCATGTCATTCTTTCCCAAACAAAGGATAAACCCAAAATGGATTTGTCTGTGAAAAAATTTGGTGCACCTGAAACCCCTGGTATTTGAATGCTATGTGCTTTCCTTTTACCGTGACTATAGATAGAGAATAAAGGTGGCTAAAACATCCCAACGCAGAAGAAGGCGGAGGATAGGCAGGTTGCAGGAATTACGCAGGCTTTATTTCTCAAGTCTGAACTAAACGAGAATGTGAGAAGAATAAACCAAGGAGGATGTACTGCCATGGGATATAATGCAGAACCACCTTCAAAAGCAACAATTGTCAGTAGTTTTATTCTACACGACTATATCAGACCCTCACATTGTTGTGGAGGAAATCGGGCCTAAAAAAGATCGGGTTTGGGGATATCAGAGGGACGGGGTCTCAGGAGTGGAGCCACCGGGGGCAGGAGGTCGCCATCCCCACCTGGGGAGGTTGACTCCTTGTGGCTGCATGCTGGCTTTTAGGCAGTCTGTACTGGCAGACAAAGGTTACTGGTCTGATGGGGTGTCTGTTACTGGGTGGGTTCGAGGTTCTGGGGGTGTGTTGCCCCTGAGCTGGGTTCCTGTAGGGCTTTGATTCTGGTGGGTATGTTGCCTGGATTTAGGGCCGGTGCTTGCGCTGGTTATAAGCCCTGGTTCCAAGCCCTGGCCTGGGGCCCTTGATGCCATGGTTGCCTTGGGGCATCTTAGGCTGGCCAGGTGAGGTGGTACATTGGAGGGGATGAGTTGAACTCAGCCTGGGTATCTTGAAAACAAAAAAAAGAACTGACCCACTTCTTTTTACAACATTGTTTCAGTGAGATAAGTTTCACAGGTAATTAATTCAGTACATCTCATTTAAGGTCTCATGATAGCAGTTAAACCGGATTATGTCTATTTTGTTGTGAATTTGCTGCTATGTTTGAAATAATTTTCTGTTGCTCAGAGTTCAAGCCAAGTCATTGCTGTCAGAAAAAAGGCCTCACATTTAACCAGAGGAGATGAAGGCAAAACAACCCAAATTCATCTCTCATCAACAATGGAGCTTAAGATTTGCATTTAGTCTATGATAATTTTAGTTTCCACAAAATGGGCAAAAGCATCTGCTTTGGTCTCACATTGTCTGTCCAAAGGGTATTATGAAGAAACTTTGCAAACTGAAGCAATGCTGCTATATTCCTTTTTGCAGAGGCCGTCTCCAAGCAAACCTCCAGGCTTTTTTTAATCATTGTGATATGAACTGTAACATTTAATGTAACTGAGCCCTGTAGTAACAGAGATCAAACCGTTTTTTTCCCCCCGTTTCTTTAAGCATTGAATGTGATGATCTTAGGAATACTTTGCCTCTTGGTGGGAGATTGGCAGATGGCTTAAATTTTCACCACTTATAAATAATTGTTTTCATCATAGAAATGCAGAACTTTGGACTTGGCCTTCCGACCCTTCCCAGATTGATGGGTAAAAATAGCTTTTTTGTCATCAATGATGATGTCTTTCTTCCCAGAGATTTTGTTAACACACCCACAGGTTCCACACATCCTGATGTTCCCTCCAGAATCCTGGAGCTTGTGGAATAATTGTGAAGCCCTGAAGCCTTTTCCCCTGCAACAGAATCACACAGTGAAGTTCTTAAAACCCCAGAAATCCTTATATTCTTATATCAGGCCATTCTGATGTAAATCAGTGATAAATTATTGCTGTTTGCTTTTGAGTTGACTGTTAAAAGAAGACAATTCAAAGCACATATACTCTTATAGGAAAAGGTTTGCTAAATAAATTGAACATGTTTCACAACTTCACCTGTGCTAATATTTGTGCAAATAAGGTAAAAGTAAAAAGTCAACATTTTTTTAGCTAAAATTTACCAGAAGTCATACCAGTCTGCATAATGCAAAAAAATAAATAAATAAAATAAATAAATAAAAAAACATCACAGCAGAACCTAAAGCCAAACTTTTGGCCTTTACTGTAAATGCCTGGGTATGCTCTAAGGTCATGCATCTGCCCTGTGATTCCTGAACACATATTTTTTTACAAGCGCTCACGCTCACCATCGGTGGCAGCATCTGCGTCTTAGTGTGTGACTCTGCAACGCTGAGACTAAAGCCCATCAGGCTGTGCTCACATGCAATTCAGATGAGCTCTGCAAATCCAGCATGAAATTAAATTTACGACTTGGGCCACAACACACACACAAACACGCATACACACACTCCTCTATGATGTCCCGATAACACAAGGCCCAAAGTGTGTGTGCGTGTGTGTGTGTGTGTGTGTGTGCGTGCGTGTTTGAGGTGCTGCGAACTAACAGTAGCAGTAAGTGACTGTGCAACTTGTGTGCATATTTTTTTCAGTTTCTATGATTCATATTAGCTTCAAAGGTGCAGTTTGTGACATCATAGAGGAGACATGATCCAGTTTAATGACAAGGTGAATTTTTACTGAAGATTTTTCCATGTGTGTTTATTTGTGTGTCTTCTACCTCCATAATTTCATCCTGGTTTGGAGATCGCTCTGCCCCGCCCTGCTCAATAATAGAGCATTGCCAACAATAACAACAACACTAATGGCTACCAGCTTTACACCACAGTCCCCACCACATCTATAACAGCTGCCACATAGACACGTATTCACGCACACACACACACGGACACACACACGCGCGTTTCAATCGAAACTAAGTCTGCCCCAATCATGTCAGCCCTAGCTCCCTCCATTTGCATAAAACAATTACCCTGGGCGGACTCAAGGTTCAATGTCGTCTAGACGACATGTTTCACTGTGGTGTCATCAAGCTGTGTGTGTTTGTGAATGTGCATGAGTGCGTAAGTGTGCGTGTGTGTGTGTGTGAGAAGAGGTGTAGTGGGGACACACTAGGCTGGTTGTAAATTAGCTGGGGTAAGGCTTCCCGGGCACTGGCCGCATCACATCACCCTGAGGCGTATGGGGCTTGGAAGGATTTATTCACATAGATAATGCACACATGTAAAAGAGAGAGAGTGCACTCTCTCTCTCTCACACACACACACACACACACACATACAGAAAGAACTGACTTCTAGAACTAATATTCATAGCAGGACAGAAAGGCGGAGAAACAGGGGGTGAATGAAAGTGTGTGTGTGTGTGTCTCTGTGTGTGTCAGTCTACATTTGTGTTTGTTGATCTCTCTTTTTTTTCCTCACTATCTCCCTCTCTGTCTACTAAGCTTTCACCACCCCATTATTTTCTGCTACTGAGCCTCGGCGATCAATACCAACAACTCGTCGGGCATCAGAGAGTAAGAGGTTGGCTCCTTTCTTCCCCTCCTCCCCTCTGACCAACAAGAGGCCATGCATAGAAAAAACAGAAAGAATAAGAGCCGAAACAGAGGACAAGAAACACTTTGCCTACTTGGCCATGAGCAGATCTGGGTTTGGAAATGTTGCCATTTAAGACCAATTAGGGAATGAAAACATTATGCAGTGTGTGTGTTTTAAATGCATGGAAAATATTGTAGATTTAAGTAAAGGAAGGTTAAAGTTTTGAAGAGCTCAGAAGAGCTCGCTAAAGATAAAAGAACATTTCCATTAAATTATGTTTTAGGCCAACCAGCACAACAACCTCTGTGTGGTGCTAAAGACCATTCAAATCAAGAAAAGATTTATGTTCAGTCTTTAATAAAAACTGGCATTCTGCTGCTGTCCAGTTTTGGTGAGTTTGTGTAAACTGCAGGCTCAGATTCCAGTTTTAGCTGACGTGAGCGGCGCCCGATGTGGTCAAGGTTCGACGTGTTGGATGGTCAGAGAAGGGATTCCTCCAATCTTAGTTTTACTGAAAGGTTAGTTTATTCCAATGGGACGTTGAAAGTCACTTTTTTTCTCCTTTCTTTATCTCCTTCCGCTGCTCGGTGCGAACTTCCGAAAATCCTCTTCACCACATTAATTTGCTGCATACACTGAAACAATTTTATGCAAGCGGCTATTTGCTGTAGTCAAGCATTTAAGTATAAATGTACCTAATAAAGTGGCCATTAAGTGTATGTGTTATAGCTTGAGATGTAAGAGTTGGTATAAAAATAAAGAAAAGTGGGAGGATGAGAAAGAGGAGGAGAAAGGCTGGGGTTGGGTAATTGTCCCTTGCAGTAGGGGTGGCAAAATGACAGGGGCATTGGATGACAAGCCCTTGCCCTCCTTACTCAAACAGAAGCACGCACACATGCACACACACCTACACACACACACACAGATGTACGCAGACATAAAACGGGATGAGACGGGGAAAAAAGAAAAATGCTAGGATGAGGGCAGCGGAGGGAGGGAAAGGCTGTGACATCCCAGACCCAGGCTAGAGGATTAATGATGAATATAAAAAAAGAGAAAAGAAAATCACACAAAGAAGGCAGAGAGAGAAAAAAACTCAACGGGGGAGCAAAAATAAAAACAAGACAGAATAAAGAAAGGAAAACAGAGGGGCTTTTTTGTCCCAGAAGGATGGATGAAGTGATTTTGCAAGTCAGCCCTCCTAGGGGTGCAGATCTATAGACGCACACACACATTCAAACACTCATTTCCAAAGAACACCCATCACTGTAGATGCATTTGAATGCAAATAGACAGATTAATGAAGACAACTGCTTTGTTTCGTCATCTCTTCTTTTGTCTTTATACACAACTGGTATCATATGCAGACGACACAGTCGCACACAAACACACACACACACAAACACACACACACACACGCACTCATACTTAAAACAGGCTTTTCCACATTCATACACAAACACATAGCTTTGTGAAACAGGGGATGCTTAATCAATGTCACAATTCAATCAATAGCCCAGTCCCATGTGATGGGGCTCTTGGCTCCATCCCTCCTCCTCTTCATCCACTCTTCCTCTTCTCTCTATTTCCTGTCGTCTCCCTTTTCCTCCGCTTCCCTATCACTTCCACCCCTCATCCCACTCAACAGTTCACCTTGCTCATGCCCTAATGTCGCTTAGAAGGGCAAGGCAGTATTGGTCAATACTGCTCCACATTCACCCCCTAGTTTCAAGACAAAAGGCTGTTTTATCCTATATTTTTATCATTTTGTATTGATTCAACGCACATCCTTTTCTCTATTATTTTAAAGTTGTTTTCCACACTATGAATTAATGCTGAATTGCATTTAATTTTTGTTCAACTGGATGTTTCATAAGCTTTATTTCCTTGAAATTCTCACTATATGATAAAACACTTGGCAAATTTATTTTGAAAACTGATTTACTAAGAAAAGGGTTCAAAAACAGCTCATGACAGAATGATGAAAGTTTTAGTCTGTTTTTATTTTAGAAAATATGACATTAAACTTTAATTTCTCTCTATCATATGGTGTTTGTGGTGTTATTTATTTCAATGATTCAAGAAATTAGTTACCATAAAAACCTTGACAACATGAAGGAATGAACTGTCTTCACTTTTCTCTCATTGTTTTGGTCGTTTCTCATCATTATAGGTGAAAATCTTTGCTTGTTTGTTTCATCTCTTTCTTCTCTACGATATTCCTGATGGACAAAGTCACAGTTTGTTTTTCCAACAGGACACCAAGAAACTTAAACTGCTCCGCTAGAGGCAAACACTGACCTCCAATCTACAGCAAACTTTCCACGTTTTTCCATCCAAGAACAATGACCACAGACCTTAAGGACCTCACTCCCATCCCATCACTTTAAACTCGACAGATACCCTCTTATTCAAGTTGTAGATCCTGTCCAGGAACACCAAAAAGCTTTTGACTTTATGTCAAGAATGCAGACACAACTCTTGGTTTGGTCCTTCAAGGACAGGATAGTTTTTGAAAGCACACACCACAAATTGTTCCTGGAAACGAGCCTTTTCCAGATCCACAAAACATGTTTAAGCGGACAACCAAACTGCCATGAGCCGCTTAAAAAAGATCTCCCCTCCTCCATCCCACAGAGGCTACTCCTCCTGATTCCAAAGTTCACCAGTCAGATGACGACTCCTTTCCGACACCTGAGAGCACACTTTTCCAAGAGAGCTCAGAACCGTGATCCGTCGATCGTTGAAATACGCCGTTCTTTCACTTTTCTTCAATCCCACTTCATATACAAGAAAAGAAATGAGTGAATGAGTTGCTCTGTGTGGCTTTTTGAGCTCCAACCAGGTGATAAATATATAATTTCCTGACCTATGGCACTCTTCAGTCAGTGATAAGTGCTATTTTTTCTTTCTGTTTGATGAATTTGCATTAGTTTACAGTGATGATAGAAAAGTAAGTACAGGAATTTTAAGTTTCATCAAAACACAACACAAATTCCTGCAAGTTATTAGGTGAAACCAAACTGCTTGTTTTTAGAGGTTTTCGTGGCAGTAGTGGCCTTGGTCTTGCAGTATGCAGACAGAAAATGGGCAGGGAGAGAAAGGAAGACTGTAACAAATGTCCTGAGGTTTGGAGTCAAACTCCGCCTGGCAGAGTCGAGGACCAATAACTTAAACTCCACCTGTACAACACGTAATGCTCCCAAACTGCAAAGGTTTATGAAAAACCAATTACACCCTGAAAATTTCAGATAAACACAAAATGCATAGAATTCAAGAATGCATTCGGAGACCTGCTTT